CTTCTACCATTTTTTTGAAATTATTGTTGCTTTTCCACAATAAATTTACATTTAAAAAACGGCCTCGAGATCAATATAAATTGTTGAATATAATTGTTATAAGGCCAAAAAAATAACAAAAACAAATAATATACACCTGGGTATGCAAATATTTACAAAGTACACATCCACTGACTCCATATTATCGGCTACATGCTTATTTTTTTAATATTCACAATATTTTGCAAGTTATAATTTTTTTGTAATGTTTATACAAAAATATGGCTCATGCTATAGGCAAACCCGTATAAATCAAGGTTTCGATCTGTATACCAAATTAAAGAAAATTTAGCGAATGTTCATCAAAATTAAAAAATTTTGCTGAGATTAATATATCTATGTATATTTTTTTTTAATTTCTGGTATACAGTTTTATAGCCCATTCAATTTTAGAATAACAATGTACAAATTAGAAGGGGATAAGAAATCGCGTTGACTCATATTAAAAAAGTATAGCTTGCAAAACTAAGAATATTTAAAAATAAAAACTTTCTAACACCAATTTTCATCGTTAAAATACCTTTCATTTCTTCCTATGGAAATCTCAAGAGTATTAACCTTAACAAATTATCAGGTTGTAGATAATTGTCATGATAAATTCTTACCCAATACGTGCTTAATAACACATAATAAACTATAAATATTTGTGAACAGACGAGAGAATAACTGTCATTTATGTATATATGTACATATGTATACCAAGGTAGTGCTCATATCCGCACAGTGAGATTGTTGCTATCTAAGATTGTACAGTTGTGAAATACGTGGGATGACACGGCAGTATTGATTGCACATACCATACTTATTTTGCTTCTAGACTTTACTGTATTACGGTGTTCGCATGAGGCAATTTCCAGGCAAATTTTAGAGGCGATTGGATGAATCAAAAGTTGGCTGCCCCAACGTCATTGGAAGCGATTAGTTGAAAGGCGGTTCCTACCGATACCGGCGATTGTTGCTTTCAACTAAGAGTTGCCTGTAAAATCGTCTCATGCGACCACCGTGTATTACTCAAACTTTAGGGCTCTAGCTAACACGCCATGTAATTGATTCCAACAAAATCTTACAATTCTCTTACGTTGTTTAATAGCTGACACGCTTGTGACCATACTTCTCAATATTTTGCCTGAGCAAGACCTCAGACACATCACACAATTTTTAAATGGCGAAGAAGGACGGGTGATTGTTATTATAACTTTTGCGTTGTAAAGCGTTAAAATTGACATACTATCTATTCTATATTAAACTTAGGTAATTACACATGAATGCACTCGTACCACTTAACAAAAAAACAAAATATAAAAAAAATCATATTACAATAAACCAATGATTTGACATTTTACTGACATTCATGGAAAGCGGCCTGGAAAGAACGAAATTGCATTAAACTGGAAATAAAAACATTCACCGAAACCCGAAAAGGTTTAGTAAATACGAGAGAAATAACACTTCGTAGTAATTTAAAAGGCACGAACTGCTGCCACAATGAAATCTTTATAATCTGTGTACTATTGTGGAATTTCATTAATCATCTTTTAAATCTAATCGCAACCATAGTTGCGCAATTGTAAAACCAGTTATTCATACATATAATATAAGTGTGCCTAGCTGAGCAGAAGCTTTCTAATGAATTCGATACTTATTACGGGATGCAATCGGGGGCTAGGTTTAGGGCTTGTCAAAGCGCTGGTGAAGTCATCAAAACCCCCACAACATATCTTTGCAACATGCCGCAATGTGGATAAAGCTACGGTAAGAATAACTATCGTAACTATTCCATTCGAAAAGTATTAAATATTATATTGACCGGAACACATACTGTTAATTGGCGCCATGATCTGAGTATTTTTTTTTTGTTGCACTTCAATCAGGTTCAAAATTAGAAAGAATACGCCAACCAAATATCCACAGATTTTCAAAATTGCTTAAATTTATTGCGAGCACAGTAAAAAAAAGATCGCTGAATAAATCCAACCGATAGACTTTTCCACACAAGCACTTCAAAAATTCAGAAAGAAGTAAATTCAACTTCCAATTTCACTTCGCTTTTATGCATATTTTTTGTGGTTTAACTATTTTCCAATATTCCACATTCCATTCAGTAGAGTTCCCAGACTAAGACAATTCACCTAATATATTGAAGAGTGCTGCCGGGAGCGGAAAAGAGGCAATACATAATCGCTTTTTTTTCAATTACAACACATACTACGTTTATACATACGTAAGCTATTGGCAAATAAAATTCATTTGCAAATACTTAACTCACTGTTTATTTGATGCTGAAAAATTCTTTTTTAATATTGGCTGATTATAAAAAGGCAAGAATATGACCATCGAAAAAGAAAATAAAATTAAAAATGGCAACGTCTTGATTATAAAAAGGCAATAAGATGACCATCGAAAAAGAAAAAAAGCCTAAGAATGGCGGCGTCTTGCGCTTATTTGCAAATAGTAGCACTAATCAATACTTATTTGTGTGATTTAGCTATTTGCAAATAAGAAATTAACTCAGCGTTTATAGGCCAAAGTTTACCATTTTGCAAATTGTTATTTACAAATAATACGTGCGTATAAACGTAGTAACAGGCAGCGTGTAAAAAATTGGCAGAGTGTCACCTCAGACCCCTTACCCAGGCGAATTTATACAAGGTTGTGTTGTAAAATCAGCTGATTTCAGTAACACCACCTCGGCAAATTGGTACAATATAAAAATTTAATATTCATCACTATTGCGAAAAATAATAATGTGACGTCAGCGAAAGGGAGGATGCTGCCAAATCGAGAAAGAGAAGACTAGCGGTCCGCGGAAGGCGCCACCTTTGTTTCGCTGCATCGTGATACTTGTATATTTTGATGCCTAAACGTAGCGGAGCCCGATGAAGCTATTCCAACCAGCGTTGCCAAATTTGGTACTTTCGTACCAAAACTGGTACTTTGAGAATGAGTTGGTACGTTGATTTTGATTTTGGCCCTTTTTCATTAAAAGCGACAGTTAGGGAAAACCATATTAATTATTTCCATCTACATATACTTCTAATTTTTCTACATTCTGCAATTATTCGGCAATTAAAAGTCCAATAATTTAAAACGAGAACCCCAATACAATTAATCGTCAAAACGCGAAACTTTTCGCAAAGTTAGATCCTAAACTCTCTGACAGTCCCTTATTTCCTCCTACTCGGCTTTGTTTACTTGTACTTGGGGAAAGTCAGTGCTGTCGGAAATGCGCAATTTGATGTTCTATAATGCTATCGTAACTTTGGTCTTGTCAAATCATATATTTTTACAACTTAAGACAACTAAAGCACGTGGGTTTTCAACTTTCTTTTTGTATACCAACTGTATGAATTTATCAAACTTTGATTGCGTTTTCCCACAAAATTGAAATTTTGAAATACTTCTTTATATTATTAAACGTGCGACGGTTTCTTTTATCCCCCTATTCGGCTTTGTTTGCTTTTACTTGAGAAATGTCATCGCCGACAGTACCTTTCAATGAGTATATATGTATATACAGACAGATTAGTTTTATTCAAGTAATGGACATGTAAGTAAGCTAAATTAATTTGAAGTGCAGTAAATATGTCTGCTGTGAATACACTTGACCACGTTCAAAATTTAAGGGCTACAAAACCGCATACTCAAAAAATTCTACAAAATCTGATTAAAACGTTAGAAATTTGCATGAAAGTTTATTGAATTTACCTGAGTTTTTAATAAGGTTTAGAAATTACCTTTTTATGTTTTTTGATATAGTATGAACTATACTTTTATAAAAAATAGCAAAAAAATTAAAATAAAAAATATTGTATATCGACATTGTGAAAAATTCTCTGCGTAAAAAAAAACATGTTTTAATCCAGTGAAATTAATTTATGTCAAAAACTTTTGCTTCTTTATTGTAAAATAATAAATTAGAAAAGCGAAATCTTTTTGGCACTCTCAAAACCGTTTGGTACGTTTTTTGGTAGGAGGAAAATAAGTAGTGGCAACACTGATTGCAACCACTATTCCAAGGCGAATTTATACAAGGCGAATTTATTTTTTTATTTTTATTTTTTATTATATTATTATATATATATATATATTATATATTATTTATTTATTTTTATTTATTCGCCTTGCAATCCACGTAGAAAAAGCTTACAGGGTGACTCACTTAAATTTGTCTGACAATAAAGGAAAGTAATGCAGCGTTTTGCTGACAACAACATTTAGCACTTAGCAACATTTAGCACTTTCGAACATGTATTTTCGAAGAGCGATCATGCTATCGCATTTACCAAATGTACATTTACGCGAGTTCGAAATCGTATGCTTTTGACAAACACCCGTGTTGCAGTCGCTTAAATGGTGTTCGCACGAGGCGATTGTGCGTTCACCTCACGCAGGGTTTCACGAAAAAAGTTGTATGGCTAAATGTTGGCTGGTTGACCAAAAGTAGAATGCAAAGTTGAACAACGCAAAGGGCTTTTTATGGCGAATATTTAGATAATTTTTTATATTTTGATATTTTTAACCATTCAATTTTTTTTCGTGCAACCCTGCGTGAGTTGAACGCAAAAGTTGCATGAAAAATCGCCTCGTGCGAAAGCCCTATTATTCAGATCCGTATACTGAATGGGAACAAAAAACTTTAAACAAAAAATTCAATACAAAAACTTAAATTGTTTTATCCATAACCGAAATTTTTTTTGTGTATATATTCATTTGTCGGAGCTGTCAATTGAAATTTCCTCAATTAAATAGAAAAAAAAAAACAAACAGATTTGATCACAAATTGAGCCAGATTTCTATCAATATCGCAACGATGTTGAATTTGCGTAACATTTCTTTTTCCAATATAAAATAATAAATGAAATCTCGATCGGCGATCACTGATAGAATTCGAAGGATACTATCGATATTGAGTAAGCATCGATACTGAGGGTATAAAAATTAGTACTTTAATAGTCGATACCTTATTTGGTGATTTTACTCAATAGTGGTATTCATCTAAACCGATAACATTATCAAGCAGATAATCTTATAAGTTTATGCACTCTGTTACATGAACGACCCACACTCTCTTTTCGTTTACACATTCGACAATAGTCGTGTTTTCTTTGGTTATAAAGCGCAGTGTCACTAACTTTATACTTCTAGCACGGGGATAAAGAAATTATAGAAACTACCTCACTAAATTTGAAAAAATTATATTTACGAGATATCTATTTAAATAAATGTACATATAACATAAAGGCTATTTATTTGAAGCAAGTTATAAGAAACAATTGCAAAATGTCTGTTTGTGTATGAATTCATTTATCTCGGCTACCAAACTTTGCGAATTATCAGTGAAACAAAACAAACAGACGGGATAATAATTGAACCAGATCTCTATCAGGATCATATCGTTGTTGAATTTGCGTGCAAAATTTGTATGCTGATCCCGATTATTGCCTAAGAAAACATAGCTAGAGTTGCGACAGAGTTGCATTGTCTTCAGTTTATCAAGTTTATTCAGTGAAATCGCTGGATAAATTTATCAGAAATGTGTAAACGAGTTTCCATACAAATTTTGACAGCTCATTTATAAGGTTTACACAATTCTAAGTTTATACGGTTTACAATGCATTTATAAGGTTTGATGAATACCCTTAGAGTATTCCGAGATTACTCTCAATCGGGTACAATTGGGAATTAATTAGTCTCAATTAGTCTCATACGGGTACTAATGGAGGTCAATTAGTCTCGACTCATCCCTTATGGGTATAATTGGAGATCAATTAGTCCCCAACTCATCTCTAACGGGTACTATTAACGATTTAATGATATGTACGCACTTAGTCAATGAAATTTCATGTGCGGCGTTGGCACACAGAAAGAGTATTCGCCTAACAAAACTGAGCACCCCGGTTCGAATCTCAGCTGGCTCATATTTTAATCTTTTAAAAGTGGATAGTCGCTTTTTATACCCGTTTGGGTATAAAGGTGAACAATTAGTCTCTTCATAGGACATGCTCGAACAAAAGAGACCAGTTCATTCCATATAAAGAGATCAAAAGTGGTATTAGTCGCATGCTCCTTTGCGATTGCTCCCGGAGTCATCCCGGATTAGTCCCATTTTTTGCAGGGTTGATATACAGTTCAAGCGTGAGCGTGAGGAATTCCATTTGTATTCTTATGGACGCTCACACCCATCTGTCAAAACTTGCCGTTCACATGCGAATGCTTTGCGTACGCACACAGTTGAGTGTGAGCTCGAAAAAAATCCATTTATGCATTTTAAATTAGTTTTTATTCCATAATTCTGAAAGATATTTTAATTCTCTATGCATGTCTCAACTATAGCCAAAAGGTTAGTAATAACTTAGATATTGGTCAAAATAAAAAGCTCACGCTAACGCTCGCATTGAACTGTATATCAGGCTTTAAAAACGCCAATATTGAAAAATTCGGGATATGGAAGGGGTCTGGCAGATATGTTAGAGCAAATCCTCTCAAGGAGTGCGGGGCAGTCAACAACACCACAAACGATATCGAAGAGGAAGGACAAGATAGTTCTCCTACTTTGCAGGATCTTTAGATTTATCAGTAGGCACCGCGATTCGTAGGTGGGAATAGGGTCCGAAAAGCATAGGCTACGAAGCGCAAAGCGCAAAAATACCTTCTGTATACGTTTGATCCTTGCAATGTGACACGTAAAGTACGGTGACCAGATAAAAGACGGGTATTCAAGCCTTGAACGAACAAACGACATATATAACAGTTTCAATGTATAGGGATCGGTGAATTCAGAGCTATGACGCCGAAGGAAAGGAAGCATAGCATACGATTTAGAGACAACGAAATTAATATGACTAGTGAATGTAAACTTGCAGTCAATTACTCCATTACTCCAAGGCTGTGGAGCTTTAAATAACTTATATTTTTTTTAGTAAAGTTAAGATCCAATTAAATTTTTAATATTCAACAAAAATACATTTTCAACTATACAGCAAGATAAAAAAAATTTGAAGTGAAGAAAAATTTTCATTTTGATTTCCA